TACCCTCCACCATTGTTTGAGATGTCTTATTTGAAGTTCGTAATGGATGCTACAGCCTGTGCCAGAAAATTGTCAATGCATGTCCAGGTCTTCGTATAGCTCCGATATAATGGTACCTCCCTATATACGGTATTTTGATTCTTTCAGCTACATTATTCACCGTTTATTTCATGTTTCGAATTTGAATATGGTAATGGTTTATGACAAACAAAACCTATGTAGCTTCACGTCGTAGAGACCCCAATATAACGGCTATATTCGGTATTTTTAAGATTATAAAAGAATTTTTAACGGATTTTATCTTTTAAAAATTTCCAAATTCGTTCCAAATGGTAGAGGGTATTCAAAGCTTTTTAACTTTTTCAAATTTAATCATTGTGCCCCACCTTGTAATAAGTACAACATAAATAGACATACATGGAACCATGGTATAAAGAAGACAAGGTAGGCTAATTTAAAAAAAAAAGTATAGATGTCTACCTGTTTGGCTTGTAATGTCAGAATTACTAAAAAAACCATGCAACTTGTTGCATTGATTTTGAATAAATAATTAAAAACCGCAAAAACTGAAAGAAAGGTCAAGATTTTCAAAATCATGTTCTATATATCTCTAAAAATTTATTTCGCTATAAAAAATGTGGATTTTGTCGATGCATATGATGCAATAATCATTTTGAAAACACCCGAATTTGAATATTTTCTGAACAATTTTCTTATTATTGAAAAGAATACATACTTAAAAAATAGAGTTGACACTTTAAGCCAAGAAAATACGAAGACGTGAACCTGCACAGACAATTTCCTGCCTTAGGCTATACTATCCGTTACGAACTTCAAATACCAAATTTGAAACAATTCCGGTAAATAAATTCGCTAACATCATGAAAATAGGGAATATCGGATAGGGAATGGGGACTATACGAAGACGTGGAACTGCATAGCCAATTTTCTGTCACAGGCTGTAGTACCCAACGAACTGTCATAAAGGAATTTGAAAAAAATTCCGGTGAACAATGTCGCCAAAAACATCAAAATAAAGAATATAGGGAAATACATTTATATGGGAGTCTATACCTAAACCTATGTAACCAATTTTCAATACCAAAAGTCCTGCAGACATAACATACATTTGAGTAAAATTTTATCAATCTACTTAAATTTGTTCGGAAGCTAGAGTGATTTCCACAGACGGAAAGACGGATAGATAGACGGACGGACATAGCTAAATCGACATGGAATTTTATGCTGATCAAGCATATACGTATATACTTTGTGGGGTCTAAAATGTGTATTTCGAGGTATTACAAACGGAATGACAAACTCAATGTACCCTCAATACTATGGTGGAGGGTATAAAAAAATCGGTAATAATGTACGTAAAATCATCAAAATACCGAATATCGGGAGGTACCGTTATATGGGGGCTATAAGAAGACGTGGACCTGCACAGGCAATTTTCTGTCTTAGGCTGTAGTATCCATTACGAACTTTAAATACCAAATTTGAAACAATTCCAGTGAAAATGTCGCTAAAATCACCAAAAGATCGAATATCGGTAGGTACCGTTATATGGGGGCTCTACGAAGACGTGGACCTGCACAGACAATTTCCTGTTTGAGGCTGTACTACCCATTACGAACTTCAAATACGAAAGTTGAAACAATTCCGGTGAATAAATTCATTACGAACTTCAAGTACCAAATTTGAAACAAATCCGGTGAATAGAATATATATATATATTTGTGGGGTCTAAAAGGTGTATTTCGAGGTGTTACAAGCGGAATGACAAACTTAATATACCCTCCATACTATGGTGGAGGGTATAAAAACAAGTAAAATAGCAGCTAAGTTCGGTCGGGCCGAATATTTAATACCCTCCACCATTTGAAAGGAACTTGAAATTTTTTGAAAAAAAAAAAAAGAATCCGAAAACTACCAATTACATGAACACCGTTATATGGGGGCTATACGAAGACGTGGACCGACATGGCCCATTTATGAACTTAACCTGCCTACTGGTAAACTATGGTTGTATGCAAAATTTTAGCCTTCCATCTTAAATCGTTCGAAAGATAGCGGGATTACAACACACAGACGGACATCGGTCTTAGAATTTTACGCTTATCTAGAATATATATACTTTGTAGGATCTATTATGAAGTTTTCCATAAAATGGTGGAGGGCATAGAAATTAAAATCATATGGTATCAGCCCTAAATTAATTTCATTGTACCATGCATGGAACATGTGTTTCCTCATGAAATTTAGGATGAAGGTCACTCATGTATAAGATAGTAAGATTAAGATGATCTTTTGGTGAATTTCGTGGTCAAAGGCATGGAAAGTAATTCAAAGAACAATATGGTCTAGAATGGTTAGGGAGCGAACAGTTAGAAATAAAAATTGAAAAATTTGCTCGAGGTTTACGCCAGGGGAGAAGCAATACGAGATTTCTGGTTATACGAAAAGTTATAAATTGTCACAACGTTGTTTTTTTGATCTACCAATAAGAGTTAAGGTAAGGTAGAATTTCGGGGATTCTTACTCTGAGAAGTGATGCAAGATTTCTGCTTGTACGAAAAGGTATAAACTGTCACAACGATGTTTTTGAGATACAAATAAAAGTTAAGTTAAGGTAGGATTTCGGCGATTCTTACTTTGAGGGTACGAAGAGGCACAAACCGCTAAGAGAATTAGATCTTAGTCTGAAAATCACTCCTGGTTTAGGCCTGAGATAAAGCTAGCTTTGTGGAAATTCATACTTTAAGGAAACGAAAAGTACTAACAGTTAGAAAACGGTACAACTGTTATTGAACGATCGAAAAAACTAGAATTTTTAAAATTTGCATTTCATCACTTTGGGTGTAGTGATGTGGAGTATGTCTGAAAATCATACTTCGTGAGTACGAAGGCACAAATGGTACAGCATTGTTAATAAGTAATGATTAAGAGCCCGAATTATGAAATTTGGCTTAAATGTATGTGGTTTTTAATACCCCGGTGATGCCTAGTTAATGCATTCTTACGATTTTCTGCAAGACTTTGATATTACACTTTTTATCAATTGCTGCCAGATTCACCAGCATCTGTAAACTTTGTTTACTCTCTCGGTAAAGTGTTATTTCCAGTATCCAGGTTTATTCCCTGATATTTGATTGGAGAAACTAATTGTCTTATTCGGGAAGATTGATTCGTCTAGGTGCCCAATTTAAGTCTTCCTGGCAAAGGACATAGTTCTGTTTTTTCCGGGCTTACATTTCGTCCTCTTAACCTATACCAGTTTTTAGCTATCTCATCTGCGAAACAGATGGGTTTAGATTCAGCCTGGGACACTTAAATATCTGTTTATAGTTGTTTACCAGGGGGGTGGTGTTTGTGGCGTTCCCTTAAAATAGTTTCCCCTAATAATTACGTGGTGTATCCCGTAGTTTATCCATATATTCCTTTGCATGTGGCTCATGCAATTCTGATGGAATCGATTTATCTTGAACATATCTAACGATTGGATAGACGAATCGACACTGACGTTGTTTAAGGCATCACCAATATCGCATTGCAAGTGTGTACATTGTCCTATTGAAATTCTCTCAATGTGGTGTATAACTTTGTGTAGAGAGATTTCCAGTGATCTCCCTTTAACATATGCATGTTGTATTCGTTTGTAATTTTGTTATTAATAATAGTATCAACTGTCGGTTCCATCGTTTTGAGCGAGAATGATTTGATGTGATGCCAACTGCGAAAATGTTGTTGGCGGGTGGAAAACTACCCTTGCTTCCCGCCAGACCCTGGGTGTGTGCGCAATTTGGTTAGCCTGCGTGAAACAAAGTTCAACTCCATTTTAAGTAGCGCCGGAAACACCTTATCTAGTCCAAATGACTTAAATGGTGAAAGACTCCTGATGGCGTTCTGAACCATCAAGTTATAAATGCAAGGTAATTCTTCTATCACAATTTCTACTTCTTCATATGTTTCTCTATATGTAGGAACCCTCGTTGCAAATAAGTGTTCATTGAAAGACTCAGTTTCCTTCAGAAGTTGTCTTTCTGTTGTCCCTTTCATCAACCATTTTCTCGATTTGTGAATAGGATTTTGATCGGAATTTCTTTATTTATTGATGCATCGTCTACGCTATCTACCTTTTTCAAAAAAAGTTCCCAGTTCTTGACTTTATTGTCCACGTCTTCCCGGCCCAGACTCGCGTCACTGTCCTACCTAAGCTGTTCTTTTAGAAATCTTCCGTATTTTGTCAAATTGGTTTTGGATTAATTGCAGAGGGGAACCCCCCCGTAGTCAATTATTTGTCAGCGTTGATACAGAGATTCCCTTGGGTGGGAGATCAGATCGGTTCTTTCCCATTGGCTGATGACTCTCTCGGATGGAAAGTATTCAAAATATGGCATTTTTGCGAAACAAACCTTGAAATATTCATTGAGGGTATTTTAGGAGTATTACATATGAAGCGAAATTTCCTGGAATTCGTACAAATGTTACATTTTTATTGAGATATCAGTTAAAACCACATTGACAGAAGGAAATAAATTTTAAATTTGGAATAAGTATAGTAAAAGAACTAAAAGGCAATTAATTTGGTATTATTTGGTGTGAACGGTTTGAACCTAAATCTTGAGAAATGAGATTTTGGATTTTTAGATTTTGGAAATGTCCACTTAGTATAAGAACTTCACTAAATTCGGCAAATTAAGTTTCGGGTGAACGGATGGAGCTGGAAATTTGAAATGTTGGAATTCGGGTCACTGGTGATAGATATGTTCAAAATAAAGAGGTATATTTACAAATACGTACTACAAGTGTACAATAATTACTGTACGTTTCTAAAATGTATATAAAATGTAGGAATAGAACTGAATCGACACATGGCATAATATAAAGGCTATTCTCAGCAGTGAACCTATATTTTTGCAAATATAAAAAAATGACAACGGCTTGTATGCAAATCTCTTTTGCGACACTGAAAATTTGAATTAAACACATATTCGTGAGCTTAAGATTTATCAATCCATAACATTTATTAAATGTTCTTCTAAATAAAGTATATGCAAAAGCTATAACTTTGTTTGAAAATAAATTAAACACAATTTAAGTGTAGTTTACATATAAGCTAAAAATAATGTCAAAATGCAAATAAATAAACACACATGAAAACCCAAATTAAAATATATACCCTAATGAAATAAATGTTATAACTTTGATAATATGAATCCCTAAAATAATTTATGTATGATAATGGTTTCAATTGTTCAATTTTGTTCGGCGGTGAATATTATTCGTATACACATGTTTGTATACATATAGGATAAACTAACTAAACTATATACAATGCAGAGAATTGCATTGATTGCATATTAAAAATGGAAATTACTCAACTTATTTTATTGCGTAAATAAAATTTTACTAATTGTATGCAGACCTCAGCATCTTCCGCACTGTCGTGACCGCTTTCTGTAAAAAAAATTAAAATATATATTTAATTTTTTTCTAAATAATAAGTCTACTTTGTTTTACTTACCACTTTCTTGTATAATTCGCTTTAAATGTTCTATACATAGCGTTTTCAAAGCCCTCTTCTTTGGAGGACCCAATTTGTGAGGAAATAGAACTGAGGTATCAACCACAACATTATGTATGAGTTTTAATGCTTTTAAATCACTTTCCAAACTGTGACCAATCAAAATAGTTTGTGAATTAAACATCGACATCAATATTGCTTGAACGTCACGCAAGGTTCTGGTCTCATTAGCCAGCATTTGCTCCGTTATGCCGGAATAGCTAAAAGCAAATTATGTTTAGTGTGATGTAATTCTCAATGTCCGCCCATAATTCCCACAACTTACATTGTATTATAATCGACAATTTTATTGTCCGGTTTAACAAGGGCATCATAAACTGTTCTACAATTGATATCAACCACAGTGACTCGTGTCAGTTCAACACCATGGGTGGTATAACACATTTCACAGTCTAAAGCGTAAATATCTTTTTTCGTGGGTACATAGTTGGGATCATCTTTGTCAATGGTTGTAATGAAACCCGTCAGATTATCAGCATCAATGAAATCGCTAACATGGTAGTTAGCGTAACTACAACCTGGGGTCCCAGCCGGTTGTTGGCAACAACGATGATAGTTGTCGCTAAAACCTAACAAACGAAAATGTCATAAAAATGCAAGAATAATAGATTATTTTTGCTACTTACCTCTTCTGTAACCCGTACTCTTAGGGTGGTAATTACACTCGTCAACACACACTTGGTCATAGATGGCCAAGTTGAAAACTTTACCGCAACGGCTACAATAACGTTCTGTATCATTAGGGCGACGCATTGGTTTTGTACATTGAATGGTGGCTGTTCCTGGTTTGTTGCCGGGCCGAGGATAACCATTGCTCACCAGCTGTTCATCGGTAAGACGCAGTTCGAAGACCATGTCATACGCTTTATCACTGGGTAATTTGTCAAATGGTTCATTGCTGCCACTCAATGTCGAGTCCGTTTTTCTGCGAATAAAAAGAATTAAAATGTTGGAAAATAAATGTTTGTTTTACAGGATCAGAAAACCAAGTATTTTATTTGGCAGAAATATATCCGTAATGTTTCAAGTATTTTTAAGGTTTCTACCTGTCCATTCATATTCCTATATTTAAGGAAATTACTGATTTTTAAACAAATCTATTTTTTATACGGACGGAAGTAGGCAACAAGTATGTTACATCGATAGTAGTGCCGAGTTTTTGTACTTTGGGCCTTATTTATTCAGTCTTTTGATGTTAAAATGCTCTCAACATTATCGTTACAACAGGTAAGTTCATTAATTCTATATAATAAACTTATATTCAAGATATCGGTATCAATTAGACCTTCCTTCCTAGCTCCTAAATCTAAGTAGGTCTGAAACTTATTGGTTTTTTTCGTAACAAAATTACGATACATTTTTTTCCTAGTCCTGTTCATCTTGCCCATTGCGCAAAGTATAATGACATTTCTACTTTTTTCATTTAATGGATCTGACTGCATTTGAACCTATACTTTAATAAACGTATGCTACCGTATTAGGCTTACATTTTCTTTTTAACACTCCAGGAGGTGTTTGTTGCCAATTTTCCAGCTAATACCACTTCATGAGATATTATTTTATTCGATTGGGAAGGCTTATTTCCAGAATCTAAAACAGAAAAGATACAACATTTTAAAATAATTCCTTATCGATGATCTGTAAATACGAACCAGTTGCTTCTTTTCGTAATTTATTAATAGCTAGCATAGCGCTGCTTTTATAAATAACAGGAGTATTACATTTTTTGAACACAGCCAACTCTTCCGTTTGAGCCTGAAAGTGAACCTTAATTATTTCGACTTCATTTAAATATTAGCCCATTCTCTTACTCTTTCCCAAGCATCAGCAACATTGGGATATATGGATATGCAATGTTTCACCATCATCTCATAGTACTGCATACGAATGTTATAGGAAATCTTTGTTGAGTTGGCTTCCAAGACTGGTGGCTTTGCAACCTTTTCAGCTTCTGTGTTGGCAGCTTTTTCCGTTAACTTGTGTGCAATACGCGATCCACCTTTGCTTGTCTGCGATGGTGTGAATGCTGGTCGCTTCTCTGCTCTCAATTCTTCGACTTTCTTTTTAGCCCTTTCAAAAGCTAACATATTTGCCACAGGGGCTATTGTTCGAGCTATAAAATGTTTGAAAAATTAATGGTGGGACATGATTGCGCAGTAAATTAGAAGCCCAATAGCTCGAAAACTTCAAAAATTGTCGATTCTTAAATGTATACAAACACATACCTATTGTTTTTGTAGGCGGTGTAAAATAACTTTTTGGTATGAGAGGAGTTAATGTTTTTTCTTGTGCTTTGCGCAATGCCTCATTGGCTTCCCGAACTTTCTGTTCTGCTTCTCTCAAAGCTGCTGCAGCAGCTGCAGCCTCCTCTTCTTGCTTGCGACGAGTTTCTTCCTGTCGGTTAAATATTGCCTATAAGGAAAAAAATATTTTAGGAACATGTCAACTGTGGTATAATATTTATTTTAGTAGCAATCCTGACTCACCTGCATTGCATTCTTTCGATGATCAGGTTTCAAAGCCACTGCTGGTGTATGACTTTTGTGCTTTTCAGCATTTTCATAGGCAACACGCTTTTTATGTGGTAATTCTGATTGTTCAAGCTCATCATCAATAGCTTTTCGTTTCTTTGCTTCTGCCTGCTTAGCTTCTTCTTTGGCTTTTTCTTCATCTGCTGAACCATTGCCATTATGAAGGGAGGCAAATTCTTGTTCCAGTTGGTCATATATCATTTCACATTCCTTCATGATATCCTCTTCTGTGGTGGCAAATAACTCCGCTGTATCCCCATCGTCCATTTTTTTCAAATCTGTAGATTTCTTCTCCCTTGATTTTGATAGCGAAGAAGAAGAGCTACGTTTATCCGATGATGATGTTGATTTGGAAGAAGAGGATTTATGTTTCGATGAGCTGCTGGATGAGGAATGATGTTTTTTATCTGAAGAGGATGATTTATGCTTCGATTCTTTGTCTTTGTCCTTATCGCGGGATGATGACTTGTGTGATGATGAATTTGACGACGAAGATTTATGACGGGATGACGAAGACGATGACTTGTGTTCTTTTTTCTCATCTCTTTCCTTGTTTCTTTCACGTTCCTTAGAAGTTTCTTCATCTCTTGATCGAGACGAAGCAGATTTATGAGATTTGTGGCGACTATGGGAATGCGATGAAGACGAAGAATCCCTTCTTTTGGATTTTTCCGATTTTTCGGAACTAATAGAGCCTTTCGATTCATTGGTATCGCTTTTTATTTTTGAATCCCCCGATTTGTCAACCTCTTGGAGATCCTCCGACTCCTGGTTTTCAGTGCCTTTATTATCATTTTCCAAATCAACATCATCATTAATAATTCCCGTAAGCTCATCCAATTCATCTGTACAATCATCTAAATTTAAGGGCTCACTTCCTTGACTGTCTTCATCGATGCATTCTACTGGAACAGTTTTCTTGGTTGTGGAAGTGGGAGCTGGGACATAAACTGGAGCACTATCAAGCGAAGAACGTTGATTTTTTGAGGGCGATGCATTTATAGCCGGCTTCTCCGGTTGATATTCCAAATTAGTTCTAGTTTTTTTAACTACCTTCGGTAATGGCAATTCTGCCAAGGTTAGAAGTTTGGGTGTCGCTTTGTACTCAGGTGCCGGCTGACTAATCGGCTGTTTGACTGCTTGTGGCTTCTCATTGTCTTCTAAAGTTAGGAATATTATTAGAAATCAGTTTCTTAAGATTATATGCATTTTGTACTACCTTTCCGCACATGCTTGAAGTGGCAGTAAGGACGATTGCATGAGGTTGACGGCTGTCCCGTTGACCCTGTTCCACTTGATGTCCCAGCATCGAAATAAGGACAGACAAAACTTTTAAATAAACCGGTAGAGGGCAACATCGCCCTTTCTGATTTTGCAATGCAGTTTTAAATGACCTAATATATTTTAATAATTTATTTAAGAAATAAATGAAATTTCCAATCGCACTATGCAATCGCAGCAAAACAGATAAACAGGGTTGACTTAATGTGTAGGTAGGTTATGGTTTTTGGTTTGGTAGTAGATGCAATTGCAAAATCCTTAAAGGTATATTTCAATGATCTTTCTTATTTAAACAAATAACTAAAAAAATATTATTAACTAATTAATGTTTTACACGTTTAAGAATGAAGATTACGTACATATTAAAGACATTGTTTACAATGCAAAGAATTTCATCACTGAGGAAACATCTGCAGTAAGTGATGCCAAGTTTTATTTACCGGCACAAATACAGTGGATTCAGGTTTGTAATCCATTTATTGTAGAAAAAGTAATCACGAATTTACATGAAATATTTTATATTATTTCGACTTACGATATTCTAAAGTTTTAGATATGTTAGTTGTATAAGCTTGTCGGTGATTTTTTACATTTGAATAAAAAATGAAAATGACGAATTTACATGAAATATTTTATATTATTCCGACTTACGATAATCTAAAGTTTAAGATATGTTGGGTGTATAAGCTTGTCGGTGATTTTTTAAATTTAAATAAAATTCAAAAATTTATTTCGCATCCATAGTTGCTCTGTCCTGAAACCTGGAAGAATCTGCTAGTTTTGCATTTTTTTATTCACCTTGCAAGAATCTGTTTAATTTGTTTCGATATTAAGGAGCAAAATCGGTTTTCCTCCATTGCATCATAGCTTTATTCTAAAACACAGCAAAATTTAATATAAGTGGTTCCATGTGTTGCGATGAATTAACTGGTTTATTTACTTGAGTTCTAATGAAGTAATGAAATATCCGATATTTTCTTAAACATTAGAACGCATTCCTTGAATGCTACTTTCAGGAACAGTATTTTTTGGATTTCTTTTTTATAAACAAATGCTCTGTTCCAGTACATCTACAAATCTACTAGCTTTGCAACTTTTTTTTCAATATTATGAAGGAAAAATTTTTAATATAAGTACAAATTGTTACATTCTTGCAGTTCTGATACAGAGCAAAATTAAAGTAAAGAGAATGTCAAATATGTCCGATAAAATGAATTGCAATTGCTCATTTCAAATGAAATCAAAAAATTTTCAAAACATAATTTAGTTTAGAAAACAGTCTGTGAATTTTGGCAAAAAATGCTTCAAATATACAGCAGGTAAAAGTTTCAGCCGATTTTACATTTTAAAAATTCGTTCGGCAATTAATGTTCAAAGATCGTTGAAAGCTGACCGTGGCCCAAATATGTATTTGTTTTTATGACGTGAGTGAATAGTTACAATTTATTGGTATCAGATTTTGATTTGTAGAATGTCGGACTTTCAACCGAACCTTCTGTTCGAAAACAGGTCCATGCATGGTACAATGAAATCAAGGCTCAATCGATTTTTTTTCATTTGCCTGACTCAAGATGTCAAATTAATTTATGCCGACATGGACAAAATTCACATTGAACATGTAGCGAAATAAATCTTTAGAGAAATATAAAACATGATTGTTCATTTTTTTTTTTTTTTTTTTTTGAACTTTGAAACGAAACCCTTGTTGAAGGGCAAAGATGGCGATTTGTAGGAATCAAAACGCCAGGTTATATTCAAAACTTCTGGTTGAGAGTGGTAACAACGATGAGTGTGTGTATCAATTTGCGTAGTTAAAACGATAACACCAAAAGGTGTATGTAAAGACAAATCCAGTGTGTTTATATTGTGATGATCAAAACTGCACTAGAGTTTTGATATGTCCAATAAATGCAGGTGGCTTATCCAAAGCAAGGAATAGAGCGTATCTTGTGATTGGACTCGCGAACATCTGGTTGAGAGTGATAAAATTATGTGTGTGTGTATCAATTTGAGTGGTTAAAACGATAACACCAAAAAGGTGTATATAAAGACAAATCCAGTGTGTTTATATAATGATGATCAAAACTGCACGAGAGTTTTGATATGTCCAATAGATGCAGGTGGCTTATCCAAAGCAAGAAATAGAGCGCTGTGGAGTAGAAAAATTCAGGAAAAATGTGGGAGGGGGAGCGAGATTTCAAGTTAGTATTTGTTTAATAGTATTTTAATGAAAAATATCACAGATTGTATCACAGAAAAAAGAAATCACAGGTTTAGATGAGCTTCCTTGATAAAATCAATGAGTTGGTGTTTTGTGTTTAGAGGAGGGTTGTCAGTTTATGGATGATTGTTCATGAAATGTTCATTTTTCATTAAATTTTCGCGCGTTTGTTTATTTTTTTTTTCAAATTCAATGCATCAAGTTCCTTTTTTATTTAATAAATTTTTTTCAAATTTATACATTTCACAAAATCTCATTGTCAAATTCGTCAAAATCTAAATCCATAAATCCATTGTATACACACAAAATCAGAGATGGAAACTGTTTTTTATGCTTTGAAATTTGACTAGGTAAATTACAGAAAATGCAGAGTTGGGAATGCTAATTTAAAATGAGATTATCTTTATTTCATTGTACCATGGCACAATTACTGAAGGTACAACAAAGCTACCCCCTAAATACAACACACTTTTGGTGCCCTTTTTCTGTCAAAACATGTACACAGTTTGTATATATGTGTGTGTATTGTTTTGAATAAAAATGCAAGTAATTTGAAATTTTTTCAAATTTAAAGACAACAGAAATGTGTATTTTCCACGTTAGCGGGAAACAAAATGGACAATTTTGGTATAAAACAATTTTGCCCTACTATTCATTCAATTTTGTGGAGAAACGTCGAAATTACTTTCAAGTTTCGTGTGTTTTTCCCAAAATAATGATTTTTCGAAAATTTTAATAAGAAGTAAAACCAATTGTTGCATGTTTAAAAAGTCTATCACTGCCTTTACACGGTGACATTTTTTAACCATGCAATTTTTTTTGTTGGTAAAAGGTGTAGAGAGACAAGGATAGAAGAAAAAATGGCACGATAAGCCACCGCACAGGGTTATATGCCATTTTCTTTGCATTTCTCTTTTTGCTTCTTCCGAATTTTTTATGATTTTGACATTTCATATCGTTTCTTTATTGTAATTTTTGATGCGTTTCTTTTATTGTGATGTTATGTTTTTAGTGATTGAATTGTATAGTGAATTATATGAAAATTAATTGGAAGTATTAAAAAGTAAAAAAAGAAAGTTTAAATAAAAGTTAATAATGCAATATTTAACACCTCAATAACTTTTTTCCATCATTTCTTCTTTAGATTCACACATTTAATTTTAAATCACTTCTTTATAAATATCTGTTACAAACAATTAGCTCTATACGAAATACTGAATAAAATAAAATGTCAGAAAAAATGCCAAGCACTATTATCGTAAAATGCCACCGTGTAAAGGCGCGAAGATTTTCGCAGAAATTTTAAAAGAGAATTGATAAAAATGCCAGCTAAAAATTGCACCGTGTAAAGGCAGTGTATTTGACATAATAAGACTCCAGTACAGGGTTGCATATTCCTAGTTTCTTTTAAGCTGAGCAACCTTTCTTATTGAGCCATGGGTACAACGAAAATAAGACATTTTAACAGTGAAGAACGTATAAAATATATATTATTATAAATAAATCCTTTATAATTTTATTTATTTGGCATTTCTTTTGTTTTGTTTCTGTTTTCATTTCACATTATTTTCATAGAACGAGTATTGAGGCCATGGTTCACTTATAGGTACACAACTGTAAAAATAAACAACTACGAATAGTGCTTAAAGGAAAGCAAAAAAAGAGGTATAGTAGCACATACACTGCCTTTACACGGTGCAATTTTTAGCTGGCATTTTTATCAATTCTCTTTTAAAATTTCTGCGTAAATCTTCGCGCCTTTACACGGTGGCATTTTACGATAATAGTGCTTGGCATTTTTTCTGACATTTTATTTTAATCAGTATTTCGTATAGAGCTAATTGTTTGTAACAGATATTTATAAAGAAGTGATTTAAAATTAAATGTGTGAATCTAAAGAAGAAATGATGGAAAAAGTTATTGAGGTGTTAAATATAGCATTATTAACTTTTATTTTAACTTTCTTTTTTTACTTTTTAATACTTCCAATTAATTTTCATATAATTCACTATACAATTCAATCACTAAAAACATCACATCACAATAAAAGAAACGCATCAAAAATTACAATAAAGAAACGATATGAAATGTCAAAATCATAAAAAATTCAGAAGAAGCAAAAAGAGAATTGCAAAGAAAATGGCATGTAACCCTGTGCGGTGGGTTATCGTGCCATTTTTTCTTCTATCCTTGTCTCTCTACACCTTTTACCAACAAAAAAAAATGGCATGGTTAAAAAATGTCACCGTGTAAAGGCAGTGATAGTAAACAAAAACCAGCTGATATACCGACAGACTCACAACAAACAAATGAATATACAAATCGCATAAATGAATAAGTAACAAACAATTGTACAATTAGACAATTAGTGCAGTTTTGTTTATTATACATAATATACATAGTGTTTTGATTGAGAACATAAAATAAAAATATTTATTTATATATTTCGCCGTATTCTCGGTGGAGGAGGCGTACTCGTAAATTATAAAACGGTCTCCTTTGAATTAGTTTATATTTACATCATCATCACAATGGCGGCACTGCCGAAATCAAGTTCAAAGTCCAAACCCATGTTCATGTGTAGTCGTCTGCGCGTGGAATGAATTAACAACGCTCACAACCTAGATATTGGGTCAAATTTCTGATCACCAATTGAGTCTTAAATTAGAATAAACATTAAAACATTATCGCTTTCTCACATTTCTTTTGTTTGTCCCCCCTTGGAGTTTGACCGATATTTGCAGTGACGTTGTTTGACCACTAGACATAATAAATACTTGTTTTTGTTTTTCATGTCTACCTGCGTTGAACACTTGCGTTTATTTTGATTCATTCATTTATCAGCCAGACTGTCGTACCTCCAGTGTATGTATAGACTTTAGACCTTTTGTTTTGTGTTCAGTCCTGTCTGTATATTTGACAAGAGTGGTAGTCTAGTTGGACGAAAGACATTTTGAACCTACCCAAAAGTAATTTTCATAAGCAAGTATTACAGTTCTTAAAATAATAGTAAATTTACTGGAGAGTGTTTTTAATTACTTGTAATATCAAGTTTAGTGAACTATTTATAAAAATTACAATGGTATTGGAATTTTTAAACTGAGATTTTAAAAAGAGTTATTATTCACAGACTATCGCTTTCGCAACATTAAAAAAAGCAGGTTCCAAAGTCCAAAATCTTTAAAAACTTATTTGTAAATTAAATGAATTAGACAACAATTAGTGCAAATGCGTCTAATGTGGATATAATATAAAAAACCCGAAAAAGTTCCTAATTTTATGCATTAAAAAGACATGGTGTAACTGTGTTACTTTGCTAAACAAACACATGAAATACCATTTCGTATAAGGTTACAATTCACTACCAAGTGCCTGGTTGTCTTGAAACAAATCATCGGATATAAACCGACATATTTTTGTGCGCAACGTGTGTTACTCGATATCAAAGAGACATAGAATACCTTCCTCTCCCGTAATCATTGAAGATGTTTCTCCTAGCATTACTAGGTCGACGTACCAAGACCTGTAATTACTACTGAATATTTTTGCCAGATAGATTTTGTAGATGCTGTTAAATCATAAGTACATGTAATGTGGGTTGTCATGTTATTATAAATTATTGTTATTATCATAGTATTACCCATGGCTCAATAAGAAAGGTTGCTCAACTTCCAAGAAACAAGGAAAATGCAACTCCATAACGGAGTCTTATAGTGTCAAATATATTTTTAAACATTCAACAATTGGTTTTGTTTATTTTACTCTTTTTTCACAAAATTTCTATATTTGGGTAAACCGAGAAAATATGAATGAAATATTGAGCTTTCTCCACAAAATTGAATCTAAGATATAGGGACAATTTGGTTTCATTCCAAAATAATACATTTTGTTGTCCGACAACGTGGAAAATATGCATTTTTGTTGCATATAAATTATCAATCATCAATCAAATTATTTTCTTTTTAATTCAAAACAATAACCACACATATACAAATTGTGTATATGTTTTGACAGAATAGGGGCACCAAAACGTATGTTATTCGATATCTAATAGACATGAAATACCTTTCTCACTCATAAACGTTGAAAACATTGTTCCTAGCGTCACTAGGTCGATGTGCAAATATCTGTAAATGTTGAATATCTTTGTCAGGCAGATTGTTTTGATGCAAAATTTTTACTGCAAACTTGCTATTCAATCATACAGGGTAAGATAAAAAAATCAAAAGCCATAATTTTAAATGTTTTTAAAATTTTATTAAATGAAAGCAAAAATTGTCGGAAATGGAATTAAATTTTATAATAAGTTTAGATTTGTTCGAATTGGTCACCTTTGGCACGAATTATGGCCTTCAAATGGCCAATGAAACCGTCACACGCTGCCCGAATGATGGTGAGGTATTTTAGCCCATTACCGGCGAAGCGATTGCTTGAGATGATCGACACTTTGGTATTTTTTAGTGCCAACCTTGCTTTCCAAAATACTCCAGACACAATAGTCCAACAGATTGGTCCGGAGATTTTGGTGGCCATTGTGCGCTGGAAATGAAGCGAGGAACCTTATTTTGTAACCATTCTTTGGTTGCGCGAGCTGAGTACTTTTGGAATGTCAAGGTCTGCGGCCAAAATGTTTGCGTGCCCAAATCTTTCATACACCCTCCAAAATATTTTCGTGATAATATTTGCCATTTATTTTAATGCCACGGTCGATTAATACGAGCGGAGAGCAACCATCGGCTGTTATGGCGGCCCAAACCGGCCGGCGCCATGGTGAACTTATCGTGACAATTTTTTGTTACATTACTTACTCATCACCACTACCCCCTGCTTAAAATCGGCATTATTCAACTCAAGCGCCGGCCATGGTAATGGTGTGGGCCGCCATAACAGCCGATGGTCGCTCTCCTATCGTATTAATCGATCGTGGCACCAGAATAAATGCCGAATATTATCGCGAAAATATTCTGGAGGGTGTATTAAAGTCTTGGGCACGCAAACATTTAGGCCGCAGATAATCTGTCCAGTATCAGTATCAGTCCCCATTTTTGAGCCGTCGTATATTTGGACAAACAACATAGACAGGGAGAGCGCGTGTGTCTTATCAGAAGATTTTAACACACCCTTTTGGTATGGCCCCCTGTCTAGATTCATGTAGTTTCGGGGTGTATATTCGATTAGTAATAAGAATATTTTTTTCTGTTGCAAAAAAACACACTTTTGTTGTAAAAAAATATCAGTTTTTTCTTAACGAACCCCACTTTTGATAATATAAAGCATTGTAGAGCCCCTAGATTTGCTACGCCTAAATCTTTTTATAATAAGATTAAATTGCAAGTATAACAAATTGGACTTTGAATATGCTTGTCATCGTAGGTATTTATATTACTATTGGACTTTAATTAGTCCAATCGAAGGTATACGAATGTAATTGAATATATTCGATCATGTTGTTCAATAAAAAGAAAACGCTTAACGGAGCTTGAATATTTATATATATGTAAATAACTCAAGTGAATAAGACAATGTATGATTAAATTGAAATTATGCGTATATTGTGTTTACAAATTACATTATACACAATTATACGAAAGGCAACGAACTGCATGAATAAATAACATAGAGATAAGCAACAGTGTAAATTGAACCACACAAATTAAAATATTTTTTTTATTTTAAATACTTTAATTAAACAAAACTTAATATAATGTTGTTTTGTTGGGATAGGTTAGACTTAGAAGTTATATTGAACGTGAAATTCCTTGAAACAATATTTGTAATATAATTTTAAAATTACCTTACACTTGTATTATTACAGTTCCAATATACAAATAAATACAATTCACAATGGATCGAGCATCAATTTATTTCATGGATGAAACTCAACGCAACACCTATGACTTCGATGAAGACTTACCACCGCTGCCACTGCCTGAATTGCATGAGACAATGGAAAGATACTATGAGAGTCTGAAACCATTTGGTACATATGAAGAACTAGCAAGTGCAAGAAAAGCCATTAAAGAATTCCAAAATGGTATTGGTGCCAAATTGCACACCAAACTAAAGGAAAGAGCTTCAAAAATGAAAAATTGGTTAGATCAATGGTGGGATGATTATGCCTACCACATGTTGAGGCTACCTTTAAATCCCTACATTGTAATGTCTATGCCTGTCAAGTTAGAAGTTTTGGGTATACCAGAAACTCCACAATATGCGTTGAAGAACATGGCACGTATAGCTTACCACACAATAGAGTTTTGGGATCTGCTGCACAAAGCCACAATAAAGCCATTATCATCGAATGGTGGTAAAATAAAATATTCATCTGCTCTGTATAAGAGATTTTTTTCTACCACAAGAGTTCCGGGTGAAGAAATTGATCATATTGAAAAACATTTTAAGACTGGTATGTTCACTAGGCACAATATCCTATAGCCGATATTTTCAAATATACTGTTTTTTTTTTCTAGTTACCGAGGGTAAAACTCCATCGCACGCATTAATTTCGGGCAAAGGACGTTTATTTATGTTCGATTGTTTACATAAAGATGGTACCCTAATTACACCCCAAGAAATTTTAGTGCTACTACAAAGAGTACGCAGTATTATTGACTACGAACCCATGGGTGATTGTGTGCCAGTACTAACACATGATGATCGTACATCTTGGGCCAAGGTAAGCTAACTATTAAGAATATATACCTTTAGAGGCAAATTACGATCGAGCTTTTTATATAGATAATATATATGGATGTTAATATAGATTTTGTAGTATTTTGTGACATATTTTTATTTTTTTTTTTCATATTTTAATCGCATGCGATTTTTCCAATTTGACTTAAAATATTGAAGTGTATATTTTGTAATATTTTTTCACCTTACAACAGAGGTTGAGGTTATTATATACAGATTGCAATTATCGTCCGATCCTCAGGAACATTTTCACAAGGGTAGGGTTAGTCTCAGAAGGGCTGGCCCTATTGTTTTCAAAGATGTCCGCAATATATATTTAGGGGTTGAAATGGACCAACAACTAAAAATGTTCTTGATTTTGCAGCCGTTATAAAGATCACAAATAGAAGATTCTAGCATTTTTGATGGCTATTTTATTATATTTAGCTGTAAAATCGACCACAACAAATAACAGCACGACTGAGTGCGTCAATATTGGGCCCTGGTCAAAATGCTAAGGGGAATATCTGAACAGTGCTCCGTGATTTGATGGATTTGGGCATAAGGGGGCTTCTAACATATTGTAGTGTTGTGGGGTATCACATGGTCGGCCCCGCGCGACTATAGCCTTTGCTTACTTGTTTTTTAATGAATGAATGTTGAATATCGGAATAAATTGACTGTTATTGGACATCGGTTTGAACCGGAAGACATTCAATAGCTTTTTTCGATCCAAGTACCACATAGACTGTTCAAAAGACCTTTACTAACATTAATTTAGATATAGACTTATTTAATTTTTGTCAAATTATTCAGAAAAGATTAATGCATTTAAAAATCTTTCTAAAAAATTCAAACAAACTCATAATTTGTATTTATTATAGAATCGGACATATCTAAAAGAACTATGCCCCGAAAATAAAGAAACATTGAAATGGATTGAAAGTTCCAATGTTGTCGTTGTATTGGATGAAAATGAACCAAAAGATTATGCCGAAATTTCACAAGTTGCTGTCAATGGTGATTACCACTCGAAGTGGGGAGATCGAAGCAGTACCTTAATTGGTTATAAAAATGGAAAATTTGCCTGTGTTGGAGAGGTAATAAGGGAATCTTTACACACCTAAATGAACGTATTTACATCTAATTTTTCTGCAGCATTCCTGTTACGATGGTACAGTTAGTGTTAGCTATGTGTTATTCGTTCAATTAAGCTTATTTGAATTACCTGAACCCGATTGGTCTGAAGCAGAAAAAAACGCCTGTTGTATCAATAACAGAGTTAAAGTTTAATTTGGATGAAACTGTGAAATCGGAAATTGAACGTGTTAAAAAAGACTGTGATGATAGAGTGAGTTACATTTATTACAATTTCAGATATTGTCCATGGTTGTTCATTTGTGGTAATATACTATCAATGAATAATAAAATGATGTAGATGGGATTACCTTATTTGAATGCAATAGCTATTGGACAATATTTCACTGCTAAAAAATAATGAATTGTTTCATATTGTTTACGAATTAAAATTTATTTTAGCGAACTGATGTTTTAATTACCCATGAAGTTTTCTACGACTACGGCAAGGATTACATAAAAACTTGTAAATTACATCCAGATTCCTTTGTACAAGTAATAATGCAATTGGCTTACTACGAAATGAACAATGAGTAAGAAATATATGGACTGTTACTGTAAATTGCAAATACCAAAACATTATTTCTTGCAGAATTGCCTCCGTGTATGAGACAGCTTTAATGCGTCACTATTACAATGGACGTACGGAAACTTTACGCTCCTGTACAAGTGACGTTTATAAATTCCTGCAGATAGCCAGCGATAACAAGTCCACAAAATCGGAAATAGTCAATGCATTCCGTAAAGCTGTCAATCACCATAATCACATGATGAATGAGGCACGCAAAGGTCATGGTGTTGATCGTCATCTATTTGGTCTATGGTGTATAGCATACGAGAATAAAATGGATATACCCGATTTCTATTCTGAACCCTTGTACACAAAATCCGGTGGTGGTGGAAATTTTGTTCTATCCACCAGTACTTTAGGTTATTCAGTAAATGTTGGTTTCGTTGCCCCTATGGTATTAGATGGTTATGGTGTGTTTTATACCATTACATCTCAATGGTAAGTGGATATAGAGAAAATGCTATGAAAGTTGAATAATTAAATTATTATCGTATTGCATTTTTTAGCATTTTTATTCAAACCAGCGCATTCCGTGATAGCATGAAAACCAGTGCCCATCGTTTTAATCAACACTTTATAAATACATTCCGCAAAATGAAATCACTTTTGGATGAGTGTAGCGATTCTAAGCTTTAAATGTGTACTGTTTATTAGTTTTAAGCACATAAATGATTGAAACCGTGCAATAATTCTTTGTTTATCAGTGTACAGTGTACAAAGTGTTACTTAGTTTACCTATCTTTAAGCCAATAAACGCATTTAAAATACTCAATTCTTTTGTTTGGAATCACACATTACCACTTAAGCAGTTTTGTTTATTTTATTTTAATAATTATTTTTAATATAATTTATTATATAATAATTTATTATATTTTATAATAATTTATTATATTATACAATTTATTTTTAATTTGAATAGAATTTCGGAAAGTTTTAACAAGGATCGAATGGGATGAACCTTGTCACTTGTAGGCTATAGACATCTGGCCACAATACAATGTCATCAGACAGATTTCAAGGGCAAGTGGCTAAATGAATATCCTTCTATTTTAACTCACCCATCATAAGTACCGGTAACATTTATCAGAGATGCATTTATAATAACCTGCCTTTTGTAAACGTCCCATACGAAGAAATTCAAAGGAGTAAAATGACACTGAAACATACAAAAACATTATTTAAATAAAAAAAACAAAAACAAACGAAAAAATGATAGCAATTCGCTTCTTTAATGGTAGAGTATTTTTATATGATTACAATAATTTATTTATTTTACTTAACGGCACAAGGAAAGATGAAAAACAAATGTAAAATTGAATTGGATTTAAGATTTAAGCCCTCTATATTAAGATGGTTTTCGTTTACTAACACTGCGGTGAAACCCTGGATATGTAGGTTAGGCTAAATGACTGGCAGTTTTTTTAAGGCAACTGCTTCCTCATAAACACAAAAAAGAAAAAAACTTTTATTATCTACGAAGATAGATTATCGTGTTGTCTTTTTCCACTTTAGTCTTCAGGCTAACTGAAGAATGGCTGCTGGTTTGGTGTCGAGGAATGAAGACAGTTCGTTCATAATTTAACCCCACAAAATGCAATATTTCTCACCAAAGAGAGTTGGACAGTAACAGAGTAAATGTTCGACCGTTTCAGTTTCTTCCTCATTTTGACAGAGTCTTCCAGAGAGAAGTCTTGGCCAATATTTTACAGTAACCTGTGATGATTAGCAGCATGAGTTTTTGGTCGGAAATTGCCGTAGAGATTACCGACCTTTCTGGAGCATGCGTGTCCGTAATTTTTTTTTTTTTTTTCGAAAAATCTTCGAGAGTAATATTTATATATCACTCCGAGGAAGTGGAACAATGTTGGTTTCACCGAGTTGTCGACTTCAGGAGTCGATCTAGCGATGTCCGTTCGTCCGTCTGTCTGGCTGGCTGGTGCGCACTATAACTCTCGAAGGGAGTATCCGATTTGATCCAAACTTGGTACATCGTAATATTATTGTCAAACTTAGATCGGGTTCGGAGATGGGCAATATCGGACCATTCCTTCTGGTACCTCCCCCACAAAATGTCCATATGTTCAAAGATAATAATTTACTGCACAGAAAGAGAAAGGATAACCCGATTTTGCTCCAACTTTGCATATCCTAATATTTGCGTCAGGTGCGAAGATATTGGTCCACTCCATCAAGTACCTCCCCCACAAAGGGTCAAAATTTGAAATAGTTATAACTCTTATAAAATTTGATGTAAGAGTCCGATTGTCTTAAAATTTCACACATCCCAATATTTTTATAAACCCAAGATCTGGTGTCAAAATGGAATATATCGGTCCACTCCTTCTGGTACCTCCCCCATAAAAGGTCGAAATTTTGAATACAAAATGAACAATATTGGCTCATTACTTCAGAACCTACTGCATAGAAAGTCAACAATTTGAATAATCAACACAAGTCAAAATATTTTTAAATAATCGAACATTGGCTGAGGGAATACATCTGTCGGGTAAACCGAGAGATACTTTTAACTTGTTCCAATGAATTCCTATACCCAAAAACTGTCAGATTCTATGGTTAATGAATTTAGAGCTCTCAGGCTACTTAACTATCGACGTATATAGTCACCGGACCGTTAAGTTCACTGTTCTGCCTGGAATAGGCAGTTGCTAATGTTCAGGCTTTCGCAAAAAGCTCTTGCACCCGATCCATTTTTCATCTTTGAACCATCTAATTTGTATCTATTATCCTAGTATATGACGCAATGCTTGATAGCAGAAGATAATGAGTTAATGGTTTTTACTTAATTAAGGAGAAAAAATTATTCAAACAACGATCCTACTGGCATTAGTCATTTTCTTGATTGCCAGCATAAGAGAAATAATTCAACTTTCTCACTTGAACGAACCTTCTTATCCTACAACATATTTCCCACTCTCTTAAGCCATAAATGCCTTTCTTTGCGCATTTATATGAGAAAATCACAAGAGACGGGTGGTCATTTTCGTAGTAAAATGAAGGGTTTGGGCAGACCGAAACTTAACATCACTGTAGCAAGAAAAACCACGACTTTCTGCAATAATTAAGCTTGAGGCATAATGTTGCTATATTATATCGAGTAATTAACAACAAATCACTTAAATCGCCCCATAAAAAATTTAATGAAATAAACACGTCGTTTGCCGTTTTAATTAAAATCGTTCATTTTATTTTTTTTTACTTTAATTCAAAACACTTATGTTCGGTTTTAATTCAAAATCTTGTGTACGAGATATTTTGTTTGTTATTTCATTAATTATACATATATAAAGATGAGCGATACATTATTTTTTCTCGTATTCACTTCACAGAAAAATGCTAAAAGCTAATTCACAATAAATGGTTTAATTAGTATGTAGTTTCTCTAAATACAGAGGCGTTAGCACAGCTTGAATAAAAAAAATAAAATACATAAATCAACTAGGTATTTTTTTAAATATACATACGTATATAGTTTAATAAACAATACATATGTTTCGTTTCGATGTAAAAAAATATATAAAAAAGGTAAAGAAAGAAGTTGTAGTCTTAAAATAACAAAGAAATCCAAATATTCAAATTACAAATATTTTAGAAATTTTAAGAAAATTTTTTGATTTAAATAAAGAAAAATATAAAAAACAGCAGCCTTTCAGACACATTCATGTAGATTGTTTTGTAATTGTGTGATAAATTGATTTCATATAAAATTATGTAGGGCACGTTTCTAATTCCTAGAAAATCTAAAAGGTAATAAATGCTACTAACTTCGTGTTAAATGTTTTGGTCATCAGAAAAGGAAAATTCATTATAAAAACGTTTGAAACAATAAACAATTAGGTGAATTGCTACATCGATTATGTTCTTTGTTAATTTTTTCTTGGTTGAATGCAAAGGACAAGAATTGATATAGCTAGGCCGAAAGAATTAAGAAATGTGATAATATTATATTTGTATCAATTTATCAAAAAAGTTACCAAGCGATAGAAAAATAAATATTGTAACGCTGTGAAATTTAAAATAAATACTTTTAACAGACTTATTTTTTACTAAAATCTGCTACAATTAATAATGGCATTTCAATATGCACACTCAATTTCTTTTTCAAACTAAGTTCAAACCAAAATGTAAGTAAAATTAGATCAATTAGTTTGAATGTAGAGCTAATATTCTGCAATACATTGGGTACAATTTGAAACTTCACAAGGGTTTAAGAGAACAGAAAATTAATTGGTTGGTAAGTATCTAAATTGCTCGAATCAACGAGAGAATATATAAAAAAAAATGAAATACAATTTCAATTCCAGAAATTTATGTATATTTAATTTAAGGTATATCTTGAAGTGCCATTATTACTTGTTAGCCCTTCCGTTTTGCAAAAAATTAATATTTTTTAATAAATTATATAAATTAAATATGTGATTAGTAAAGTCGTTAATATTCTGTTAAATATTTACTTCGTTTCATGCAATTGTTGTTATTTTCCCCAGGTTTAGTAATTATTTTCATTTTTTTGTGGTTTTCCTCTAAAAATATTTACGTTTGTTATTTAATAAATTTACGTTGTTGTTGTTGTTATTAATGTGATGATGCTGTTGATTTTGAGTAGGTTGTTGATGTATTGATTGCTGTTGTTGCGATTGAAGGTGTTGTTGTTGCTGATGATGGTGGTGTTGCTGATTATTATACTGGGTATTATAATAATAACGTTTCTTTTGTTCTCATTCTTGTGTTGATATTGGATTATTGTTACTAACTTCTGTAGATGTCGTCGCCGATTCATTTGTGAGCTTTTCACTAGTTTGAGGTGCCGCATTGTTATCTTGCTGTGTGGAAGCACCAACAGGATTTGTGGAATTTGAATTTTCTGCTAATGATGTTTCATTTACCACTGATTTGGTATTAGAAGCGGAGGCGGCTGCAGCGTTTGCAGGGGGTTGGAACGCTGGTCTTTGAACAAACATATTATCAATGATATGATCAATATTTTCAGCACTACCAATTGGGGCAGAGGCTGTGACATTTGACGAACTTGACTTGGTCTCATCTTTTGTCTCGGAGACTTTTTGTTGAGCGGCCGGTGTTTGTGATTTATTCTTGTCGGAAGGTGGCAGTATGGGTATAGCATTAGTGGGTCTTCTTTGGGGCAACGAAACAGGTCGATTACTGGTTTGTGTCGGTGGTGGTACAAAGTATGTGGTACCGCCCACCGTATTATAGTTTTGATAATTTGCAGCAGCCGTTGCTGCAGGATTTGGTTGTGGCACTACACCAACACCTGCTGCTGCACCAAAAGCTGATGTTGGTACAGTCTGTTGAGGTGTGGGTCCAGCATTAGCATAAGCCGCCAAAGTAGCCGGGTTTGGTTGCTGAGCCATATAATTGGGTGCTGCCTGTTGAGCAGCGTATGTGGCAGCTGCTTGAGTAGCTTGGGCGGCAGATGCTGGGGTATAGGCATCTGGTGCTACATAGTATGCTGTTTGTGGTGTCGCTGTTCCGGTATATGGGCCCGGAGGTTGCGCCTGAGGACCTACATTGGCATATGCAGCCTGTTTGGGTACATTTGCCTGTTGGGATACTTGTAATGCTTGCATTTGAGCTTGCATATTCTCCTGGTGATACATTTGCATGAGATTCGCTTGAAGCATTGCCTGTTCCGCGGGCATCAACATAGCTGGTGGCGTGGCTGCTTGTTGTTGTTGCATGTGCAACTGTTGCAATTGTTGATGTTCACCGATATGTTGGGCTTCATGCTGGGAGCGGCGAAGACTTGAATAACGTTTTGGTGGACCTCTTTGTTCCTGGGCTTGGTTTAAGTTTTGTGGGGCAGCCATCATCATACTGGCTGTTTGTTGATGTTGCAACAACTGTTGTTGCTGTTGTTGTTGCTGCTGATTCTGTGATGCTAAAGCATGCATTTGCACACTACCCACGTGGCTCGGATCATTACGATTTTGAACTTGTTGTAAACGCTGTGACAAGTTCGTTGACGGCAATGTTGGCTGTGGTTTTGGTTGCAACTGCTGTGCATTTTGTTGTCGAACCACATTATGATTAGCTGAAGATTGCTGTTGTTGGTGCAGCTGTTGTTGCTGATTAGGCACCACAGCATTATGAGAAGATCCTTGATTAGACTGATGGCCTTGGTCGTAATTTTTCTTCTTGTTATAATTGTCATTATGCTGCTGCTGTTGTTGTTGAGGCGATGATACCTGATTTTGTTGTGATTTTCCCAATCCAGAACCAGTGGAGGGGCTTTTGTTGATATGCTGGGACTGTTGATTTGCATTTGGTTGCCGATGAGCTTCCAAACGACTACTCAGGCTGCTTCCCTGGCCTTGGTTTGCAGGACCTGCTGAATTCTGACTGGATTGACGATTTTTCTGTTTAAACTCCATAGCAGCTTGACGGCCCACAGATGCCTGATTTTGGCGGTTAAAATTTGACTTTGATTTGGAACTTTTGTGTCCACTTCCTTCGCCACCCCTTTCTCTACGATCGTTATAATCATCTTGATGATTATTTCTTGAATGACTCTGTCTTTCGGATCTATCAGACTTTCCCTCTCTCTGACGTCTTTCCATTCGGTTTTCTTTTTCTTCTCGTGTCCTTCCAGAGGAACGTCGAGATTTACCAGAATTTTCATTTAATGCTGGAAAATCAGACGGCTTTGGAGGTTTTCGCTCCTTGTTATTCGTCTTTAGGTAGGCACTTTCGTCTTCCCAATTGCGATTGTATTTACTGGGTCCCCGACCATATCGACGTCTTCTTCGCGCTTTTGGTGGAGCATCCTCAGTGCGTATGTCATAACCATAGGCAGATACCAGCTCTGTCCTGGATTTAGGTGCCTGCTCAGATGGATCGAAACGATCGTGCGACCAACGGTCCACGGCAGAAGCAGGCTGCCATTTCTTCATAGTTTTTGAAGCTGAGGAGATAGTTGGTGCCGTCTTCGAACCTCCGGTACTGCCACCGGCACCATTAGTTGTTGACTGGCCATCAGCATCTTCCGAACCCTCCACTTCAATACATTCGCCGTCCTCAGCAGTGCGATCGTCATGCTCATAAAATGTACCCCGTTTGGGAATGTACTGTGGATTGCTTCTATCCTCATCAACTTTTTTCTGAGCTTCAGCATCGACTTTATCCTGTGAAGTCATATCACCTTCGACGCCTTCGTCGTCTTCCTCATCATCGTCATCAGTCTCTGAATCGTCGTCTTCATCATCATCATCTGACAAACTATCATCTAAGTCATCTTCATCATCATCATAATCATCTCCCCCCTCTAGATCACTGGCCGTATCATATTCCGAATCGTGGGGATGTGAGTTGCTCGATTTTTCTTGTGTTGGGGAAGTCCCTAAATCGTGGGATGCAGCATTACCGTCTGATTGCACACCACCCTCCTGCTTACCGTTTGACCCAACTGAACCGGCCGCATCAGCCGCGCTGGAATTCGTGACCGTCATAGGCGCTGCAGTTGCTGGCGCAGCTGCTTGCGAGACATTTTCAACATCGGCCATTACTTTGCTATCGCTTCGATTTTTCAACTATTCTCTCTAGTGTGTCACACGGCTTCTTCTTTCTAGACTAAAATTTTATTTATAATTCTGCCTTAGAAGTTTTACATAATCACATAGTATTTCTTTCAAATATTTACCTCAAAAATGCTATCAAATGTGTTAAAATTACAATTGTTAGAAATTTTAAATATTTTAATGATCTGTTTTTTGCTTATTTGGTGAAAATTTTTAGGTGTTTTCACAACGCAATCAAATCACCAAAAAATAGAAAGTAATAATGTTGATAAAGTATTGGTTACCTCGATTACCGGTTAATCATTGTCATCTCTTCTGTATGAAATCCATGGCTGGGTAAACTGATATATTGCTGATTTTTTATGGGATTGTGTCAATGATAACAAACACCACACCTTAAAGTATGCTACAAAATGTAAAGGCAAATACAATGTGGTGAATATAAAGCTGCATGTATTGCAAAACATATTGCCGTTGAAAATACAATTAAGCAATTAGTTGAATTTTATGGAACAAATAGGTATGTGCATGGTAGAATTAAGAAGGTAAAACCATGCAATCACATGTTTACACTTTTTTTTTTCAAAATTATTCATTTGACAACCTCTCATTGTCAAAAAATTTATTCATGAATACATTGTATATACACAAATCAGAGATGGGAAGCTGTTTTCTATCCAATTAAATATGACAAGATAAGTTACAGAAAATACAGAGCTGGGAATGGTGATTTAAAATGAGGTTACCTTTATTTCATTTTACCATGGGTATGTGTTAAAAAGCTAAATAAAACATTTGATTGTAAATTGAAAACGGCCTAATCGTGCTGAAGGCTAAAAGCATGTTTATATACGCGATATTAGGTCCTCTGTAGTTGTCATGGTAGAAGAATACGGGTAGTCACATCAACACAGCTGCTGGGACAATGAACTGTCAACCCAATTTTGAAATTAAAATGTTTTAAATGAAAAATTATTGAAATTTGTAAAAAATTTTTGAAAAATGAATCACTTAACAACCTCTGATAGGTGTCGTATTAAGAAACAAACCTACTTATTTATGGAAAAAAAAGTTCCCAAGCGTTGATGCATCTACCTGTATTTTCTACCATGGCAGTTGCGAAATCCACTTGTCTACTTGTTTGCGCAGATATTTTTAAACATTTTTGACTCATCAATGTCACTAGTGTTGATGCATCTACTTACCACGAATACAACTTCAAAAAACTAGGAAAAATTCTCTTAGTCTTATAGTGTCCACGATGGGATTTGTTTTTAACTTTTTTCAACAAAAATCTTATGTAGGGGAAAACCCACAAATATGAAAGAAAAGTTTTATTCTAAAATTGTATCATGTTGCCTTTTAATGTCGAAAATATGCATGTGTGTTTAAACTTATTTTTTTCAACAAAACAATACACACTGCGTATATGTTTGGACAGAGTAGGGGCACCAAAATAAAAAATTGTATTGAGGAGGTCACTTTGTGCTGTCCAAGGCCTAATTTAGGTCGGTTGACTAATAACAATATATAAGAGAAAATATGATTTCACCGTTTATCTTCGAAAAAAAAAACCGGATCAGCAGATGTAGCCTATATCGTTTCAGGGGTTTGAGTGAGAATATTCAAGTCACTCAATACTAAAATCATGGTAAAATTAAGAAGGTAAAGTCATTTCGAAAAAGCATATCAATCTCTGCATTTTCTGTAACTTTCCTTGTCAAATTTCACCGAATAAAAATAGGTTCCCATCTCTGATTTATGTGTATACAATTGTTTTATAAATACAAATTTTGACAATAAGATATTGTCATATGAATAATTTTGAAAAAATTGTCAACATATGAATACATGACTTCTTAATTCTACCATGACTAAAATCATAGATGGCTAAACTTCAACAAAACTAGAAAAATGCAACTCTGTGCTGGAGTCTTATGGTTCAAATAGATAATAACCTCCGAATGACATCGTGTAAGAAAACAAATAAAAATCTTCTTATATTTGAAAAGACATTTAAAATTTTTTGACATCAATATTCCCAAACGTTGATGCATCCATGGTACAATGAAGAGAAGGTAGGCCAACTTTGAAAAACTTGCAAGTATAGAGGTCTACCCGTTTGGCTTGTAATGCCAGAATTAGTATCAAAACAATAAAAAATCATACAACTTGTTGCATTTATTTTGAATAATTAATTGAATAATGCGATAACTGAATGAAAGGTCAACACTTCTTTTCAAAATCATGTACTATATATCCCTAAAGGATTATTTCGCTACAAAAACTCTAGATTTTGTCGATGCATAAGTTGAAATAAACATTTTGAAAACACCCGAATTTGAGTATTTTCTGAACAATTTTTTTGTTTTTGAAAAGAAAACACATACATAAACAAATAAAGATGACATATTAAGCCAAGAAAATAAAAAATTAAAATCATATGGTATCATAGCCCTACCTTGATATCATTGTATCATGGATGCATCTACCTGTATTGTTCTACCATGAAATAGACTACTAAATATGCAATTATTGGGTTTGTTTATTTTTAATTTTCCAACAAAATTCTTATATTGGGGAAAACCCGTGAGTCAAAAATGGAATTTTTGGATTATTCCACAAGATTGAGTCTAAAGTAGTAGGACAATACAGTTCCATCCCAAAATTTTTAAATATGCATTTATTTTGCAACCAAATTGAAAATAATGCCAAATTATTGTATTTTTTATTCAAAACAATACACACACATACACAAAATGTGTATATGTTCTGACAGAATAAGGGCACCAAAATAAAAAAAAAATGTAAAAAATTTTGTACGAAAATAATTCATATCCTCCGAAAATTCTTTCAAAACCATTAAGATACTTAAATCGAAGGAACGGTTATGGGGTGGACTATCCGTAATGGTGAGTAATTACACAGTGCAACATAGCATGAGAACTATATTGTACTTGTTGTATAATTTGTTTACTTGAGTGTAAATGAGTCTGGCGTACTGACACAAATGATATTCGCCAATGTAAACTACTAAATTTTCCGTGGGTTGCCAACTGTCTGAGTTTCATTGTTCATGTGGCATCACTGCTAGCTTTATATTTTCTAACACTGGCTTGTGGCAACTTTGTTTGTTTATGGTGTTTTGCCATTACCCCAAGATACATACACACATATATCGGCGTTTCATAAAATTTGTAAACGTGCTTCAAAAAATTCAACAAAATGTCTAAAAAAGATAAAAAGTTAAAGAAAGCTAAGCCAAATGCGGATCAAGAAGCGAATCAAACAGAAACAAATGACAAGCAGCAACAAAATGATTCCGAATTCCCAACTGATTGGGATGTAGATGTGTACCGCCGAGAATATGAAAGTGAAGAACACTGGCTACTGAGAAAACGCTTCATGGAATTCCACAAAGACAAGTTCCCCGAAGATAAACTTGTATGTTTAGCTCAGGTTTTTACAAACATGGAATTTATGGGTTGTAAATATCCCGCCGAGACAATGGCTATGGTGGCTGAACTATCTAAAGAAGTGGCCAAAGAATTCCGGGCCGGCAGAGCAAATCGTTTAAAGAGAACATTTGTTGCGGCCTCCGATGCAGCCGAGGCCAGGGCTAAAGGTAGACGTAAAAATAATTAACAAAGCTATTCAATTTTATGTTTATTTTTAAGTACAAATAAGTGAGTAGTAGTTAACAGACGTAGAAATGGATATGTCTAACGATTGAACGATTCCACCTCTCTTGATATTTTAAAACATTAGGACGCAGATCGACGCAGCAAACAAACGATGGTCAAAGCACACAACAATTGCAGGGTCAAAAGAGAAAGCATTTTGACATAGGAAGTACTGGCGAAACACAACCACCCACAAAGAAGATGCCGCAAGTAGATCTTTTCTCTGGTCTTAAACATAAACAATTTATTTTATTTTTAAATGGCGGCCGCCAATGTATTCAACTGTCTGCTCAGCGAAGTCATGTACCCTTTGAGGAAAAAGAAATTCCAGCGGAAAACAATATAAAGTAAGTGGAAATTCTTACGAGCTGCCAGTTTTATGATTTAACGCAATTTGTTTTCTTTAGGAAAGTTGAGATACGTCTAAATAACAACGTTGTGGCCTTAGCAACAGGAGAAAACTTGAAGTTAGCCAAGGCAAATGCATTTACTTGTGCTTTGGAGAAACTTCAAAATGAATGCTATACTATAAAGGTAAGAAATGTACTAGTAGAAGTGGTATAATGCGTCATTCAGTCATTCTAAATATATTGAGTTTGCTGAGACCTGAGTTTAATAAACACAAACTCAAATTAGGGACAATTCTAAATCTGTCCTATTCTAAGTGAATGGTGAAAAGTAAAGAATTTGAAGAAAATATAAATTTTGTTGTGGCAAAATGATCAGCATTAATCCCCTTATTGTTGTTTTTATAAAAACAACGTTTGTTTATTAGTGGAGAACGGTGGTAATGTTTAAGGCAGGGAATATCTAGGTTTCGGAAAGATCCACCAACCCCCATCAGTTTCCTTGTTTATTGTCTGGGATATTCTCCCCAGAAGTTATTTTAAAAATAACTTCTATGACAAAAAACTTTTTTAACCAAGTGCCGAGATCGTAAGCTCAATAGAACTAAAATTCTTTGGAAAATCTTCTAAATCTTACCACCGCACTTTTAAGCATTTTCATATTACTCCACTTGTTATGCTTTCGTTTTACACGAACGAAATAGCATAACCATGTAAGATTGTTTTGACTGTTAAAACGAAAACCCCTTCGTCGACCGTGTCTTGTCTATTAATAGAACAGTGTTGTTCGGGATACCATAGTATTTTGTTGCTGCAAAATGGTCAAACTTAATCCCTTTATTGTTGTTTTTATAAAAACCTGGTAAACATTACCATCGTTCTCCACTAATAAACAAACGTTGTTTTTATAAAAACAACAATAAAGGGATTAAGCTTGACTATTTTGCAACAACAAAATTCTATGGTATCCTGAACTGAAATTTTAAATATTTATAAATTACGTTGTTGCAAAATGGTCAGGCTTATCCCTTTATTGTTGTTTTTGTAAAAACAACGTTTGTTTATTAGTGGAGAACGATGGTAATGTTTACCAGGGGGTAAGGCAGGGAATACCTAGGTTTCGGAAAGAGCCACCAATCCTCATCAGTTCCCTTGTTTTTGTCTGGGATATTCTCCCCAAAAGTTATTTTAAAAATAACTTCTATGACAAAAAACATTTTTTTTACCCAAGTGACGAGATCGTAAGCTCAATAGAATTATAAATTACATAATTATATTTCCAGCAAAATCCTGATAGAAAAACAATTAAAATTGAAAAGAACAACAACAAAGCCGTTTGTGAGGTTATTAAAAGTGAGGTAGATGCAGCATCTGTAGATAAAAAATTGGATGATAACAACAAAGGTTTTAGAATGATGAAAATGATGGGTTGGTCTGGTGGTGGTTTAGGATCGAAAAAACAAGGACGAGAAGATCCTGTAGAGTAAGTAATTATAACTCCGGAATTTGAACATGGTACACGTAAACAAATCATCATCACTTGTAGATACTTATTTAAAAGTAACCGTTCGGGTTTGGGAAAGGAAGATTGTAAAATGGACAAACAATATTTCAAGAATATACTAAGGAACTATGTCGAATCAGACGACATACGAGAACTGCAATTTGAACCAACCTTTACCAAGGAAGAGAGAGCTTTACTACACGAGTGAGTATAGTGTATTAAATTATATTGTTATATTTTCTGAATTATTTTCTTTCTCGAAGGATTGCAAAAAATTTCAACCTAAAATCTTCGAGTTATGGCCAGGGTGAACAACGACGTTTGATCATCACCAAAAAGACGATCACAGATAATCAAATACTGCACGAAGTGTTAATCAATAAAAATACACGATTCCTTGATAGATATTTAGTACAGGTGCCAAAGTGTAAGAGACATATATTTCCTGATCACACTGAGACGCTGACCCTGTAGTATCAAAACATATTCTTAGTAATATGTTAATGTATTAGGACTAAGTTTTATTTGCTGCGTTAATTATAGGTTTGTCGTAACTTTATAGAAAATGTTAAGAATTAATCTGTAAGCAATTTCAAATAAACATTTGAATATAAAATAATGTCCAAAATTTGTTTATTTTCATCAATTTCCGAAAGCATTTTTAACAATGCTCTATACAAAAATTCTTGTTGAATGAAAAAAATAGCTAAAGATTATTTCTTTACTGCGCCCAAACGGCTTGGATCCTGACTGGGATAATGCACTTGTCCGGGAGCACCACCAGCCATTCCCGGTGGTGGTGGTATTGAATCTAATGAACTTGAGGCAGCAGATGCTGCCGCAGCGGATGTTGATGCCATTGGCATGGAATAAGGCGCGGCATAGGCCTGTGAATATAACTGCTGATATGAGGAGGCGGGTATGAGTGATGGTGGTATTTGATGCAATTTCATGCCGGGAGGTAGTACGGTGACTTGTTCTTGTTGTAAATTAAAGAAGTCATTTGGATTTGTTGCTGTGGCTGGTGCTATAGCATTCAATTCAAAACGACGATCGGTTTTAGCAGCTCCTTGTTTAGCCTGTGAATGTGCCCATTTGATTGTGGCCTTTTTGCCTTGCAATATTAGCTTATTGAAACTCTTTTCTGCAGCCAATTCCGCAGCAGAACGTTTTGTGTACTGTACAAATGCACATTGTTGGCGTGGAACTAAAGCTATTGAACGTATTTCACCGAATTGGTAAAAATGATCCCTCAACTCGGGTTCAGTTATATCTTCTGGTAAATTGCCCACGTATAGTGTGGTAATATTTCGATCTTCTGGAGGTTCCAATGTAGGCAAAGAAGCTGCCCGCTTCATAATTTTTTCAGCTACTGGATCATTGCGTCCATAGTAACGATCCTTAATATTTTGTTCACACAACGGATCATCGGGTTCATTTGGTTTGTCATGACGATATGGACACTCTTCACCTCTTTTACACTCACCCTTAACCCAAAATGAGCAAATATGTGGTCTATTACGTTTGTAATAGGGTGCTGTCCGAGCCAATTTTGACAACATATCACTGGCAGCCAGAGATTTTCCAACTTTTCCAGCCGCTTCGGTGCCATCGCCATCTTGCAATTCACGATCAATGTTCTGTATGTAATATTCCTTATTGACATCACTTTGAGGTAAATTGTCGGCCACTTTTAGAGCTGCATCCCTCACTTGAATGGGTAAGCCATATTCCAAGTCAAGAAGACAAGTTTGGCATACATTTTTCAATCGTGCACAGGTTTGACAAATTTCCGTTTTCTTGAAACGCATTCTTGCTCCGGGACACCATCGAAATATAGTGAAGGGTCTTGTACAAATCTTGCATTCCTTACCAAAGCGTTCTTTAATCATACGAACATATGGATTATCACCCAAACATGTCTGACAAAGTATGGGAAATTCGGCATCTTCCCAGTTCTGCCGATTGTACGTGTTGGTTGTCTTGGACATTGACATTTTTCCTTATTGTCTTTATTACAGTGGGGTTTCCAAATATTGTAACAATTTTTACGAACTTTTCTCCATTAAGTATATACAAAACGAAAATGAAAAAAACTATGCCACACAACTAAGCGTGAAGTAATACAAAAGACATTTGGTCTGGAATTAATTTCGGTGTTGCCAGATTTTTATTGTGCCAAATGATAAAATGTTAACATAGTTTGTTCACACAAGTTCGGTAAGTGGAATAAAATTACCTTAAACAGACAGGAACATTTTACAGGAAAAAGTAAAGTTTTACAGACTCTCTCTTTTAAATATTCGTTTTTCATTGTTTTCAGTTATAATCTTATCTAATCCGACTTATCCTTTAAATTACTGTTTCACTTCATTAAATTACTCGAGTGTGGAACCGGAATGACTGCATAATATTGCATAAAATTTTATAAAAAGTTATAAAAAGCATAAAATTTTATAAAAGTTAATAGGAAAATAAGGTGCAAGTACATAGAAATATTTTTTTAATGGCCTAGGTCATCGGCATTGTAATATAAAGAAGACAAAGTCATTTCAAATAAGCATTCTCATCTTTGCATTTTCTCGCCGTCTTTATTTTTAGTCGTAATCTCATCTGATCCGACTAATCTTATGATATATAAAATATGAAATCGTCATAAGCATTTGTAAATTACAGTTTCATGATACTTATTTAAATAAATTACCAGAGTGTGGAACCGAAATTACTGATTAATACTCCAAATGGGAATTAAAAAAAAAATTAAAATACAATTCCTGCAACAAGTCGGAGAAAATTAAGGTGCAAGTACATATTAATAATTTTTTAATGGCCTAGGTCATCGGCATGGTAAAGTCATTTTAAATAAGCATTCCCATCTTTGAATCTTCTGTAATTTACCTTGTCAAAATTCACTGAATCAAAAATAAGCTCCCATCTCTGATTTATGTATATACAATGGATTTATAAAAGTAAATTTTGACAATGAGATGTTGTCAAATTAATAATTTTGAAAAAAAAATTTAAACATATAATTGCATGACTTTGCCTCCTTAATTCTACCATGGTTATCGGCTGACTTTGTTACATTTAATATTATGCAAGTTTACTTGTGGCAAGTTTCTGTTTATATGAGGGAGGGGTAAGGGGAGCGGAAATGGCAGAAAATTGTTCATACTTGTAATTTTCTGGCAATCCATATTGTGTTTTTATTGTTATACAACAATATAAATAGCAATGACAGAAAAGACACCGCTGAAAAACAAAGTCATTAAAGTCCTGAATCAGGCTAGGCGAGCTACTGGCTGCAATTTTTATCTTTTGAACTTGCCTCTTGCATTTAGACAAGGCAATTATTTTCAGCAATTTGCTTTTTCAACATTACTTTGTGGATAGCTCGAATGGCCTCCATGTAAACATAGGCTTACATAAGTATGTATGTCTTACTTATTATATTGGCAACTCTAAAATTAACAGATGATGTTAATAAACAAACTAGATATAAACAAGAAAACGTTTGGAAACCAATTTTCTATTTTCCTGATAACCTGAATAATGTCCGCAACAACTTCTGATCCTCCCATTAAACGTTACAGACGGGAGGAGGACAATAAATCAGATCTGGAAGAAGACGATGACAAGTACGTGCCGTATGTTCCAGTAAAGGAACGAAAAAAGAAGCAGCTTATGAAACTGGGGCGCATAGTTCAATTGTCCAACGAAGATTCCAAGCCGAAGTCATCCAGTGAAAATGAAAACGATGAAGACTCACAAAATGCCAACGATCCAGAAGTGTGGGGGCGCAAATATAATATTAGTTTATTGGACCAACATACAGAACTGAAGAAAATAGCTGAAGCGAAAAAGATTAGCGATGTTGAAAAACAGCTTAAGGAAGAAGAAAAAATCCTTGAAAGTGTCCAACAACAGAAAGCTCTTATGGGTGTTGCTGAGTTGGCCAAGGGTATACAGTATGATGAACCGATTAAGACAAGTTGGAAGCCGCCGCGTTATATTATTGAGATGTCTGAACAAAAACGTAATGCTATACGTAAACGTTTGAGGATATTGGTGGAAGGTGTAGATGTGGCTCCGCCTATACGTAGTTTTAAAGAGATGAAATTTCCCAAGGGTATATTGAATGGGTTGGCTGCAAAGGGTATCAAGAAACCTACACCGATACAAGTTCAAGGAATACCTACAGTACTTTCGGGACGAGATTTGATTGGCATTGCATTTACCGGATCGGGTAAAACATTGGTGTTTGTTTTGCCAATTATTATGTTTGCCCTAGAGCAGGAGTATCGATTGCCATTTGCACGTAATGAAGGTCCTTATGGCTTGATTATTTGTCCATCCAGAGAATTGGCGAAACAAACAAATGATATAATTATGGTAAGTGTGAAAACATTTTTTTCCATTAAAAATTGCTTATTCACTCGGAGAAATTGTTTACTGTCCGCCTTCTAAAAAAATACCATTTGATAAATCTTTTAGTAATCTTCCTACGTCTAAATGTGTCCATACCTATACTGCGTTGTAGTAGAATACGTGGCACAAATAGATCAATCTGAAGGAAACAAGGAAGGAAAAACGTTTTTTTAAAGGATTTATTTTTAAGGGATCTTTGTTCGAAAAAAAAAACATAACCGATTCTTTTTCCACAATGAACACTGACATCGAGTTTATACATAACTTGAGTGCTTTAGGGACTGCTCGGATATCTCCCGCACTAGCTCCTTTCTGGCAGGTCTTTTGTCATGTAGGGTTTTGACCCTAAAATGGTGCATTTGTCTTTCATCTTATTTATTTGTTCATAGACAGTTTAGGACAGAAGACTTATGCAACAGTTTCTCTGTCCATATTAGATATCTTAGCATAAAGGATGAGATAAAAAAATTGCAACAAAGTCAAACGCCATAATTGTTACATTTTTTTAAATTTCATTGAATGAAGGCAAAACATTTCGGAAATAGCATCAAATTTTAAAATAATAATGATTTTAATTGGTCACCTTTGGTCTTCAAACGGCCGTCACACGCTGCCCGAATGTTGATCTGCGGTATTTTGGCCCATTCCCGACGTAGCGTTTGCTTGAGTTGATCGACACCGGATTGGTATCCGGAGATTTTGGTGGCCATTGTGCGCTGGAAACTAAGCGAGGAACTTCATTTCGTAACCATTCTTGGGTGGTGCGTGCTGAGTGCGATGGTGCCGAGTCCTGTTGGAAAAAATGTTTGCGTGCCCAAGGCTTTAATACACCTTCAAAAATATTTTCGCGATAATATTCGGCATTTATTCTGATGCCACGGTCGATTTATACGAGTGGAGAGCGACCAGCAGCTGTTATGGCGGTCCACACCATCAGGATGGCCAGCGCTTGAATTCTGTTGGCCATCCGAAGGTGCACATTTTCAGCTGACTTTTGGCAAGTAAACACGATCATTTTGTTTGTTTACAAACTGCTGGACAACGAACGTTTTCTCATCGGAGAAAACCAAATTCGATAGTTCAACACTTTCGGCCTATTTTCTTTCTCACCAAAATACTTTTGTACGCTTGTAATCAATATAATGAGCTGTCACTGGAATAATTTTAATAGCTGTCAGACGAGTGGCTTAGAAATGACAGCAGTATGAAGTTGGTTGCAGTTTTTGCATCTCACCCTGTATTATCCATAATGGCCAACTTTACTAAAAAATTCGATATCTGGTTAATAATCTAAAATTCTTCATTTTCTTTTTTATTCTATTACTTTTAAAACATTTTTTTTACTAATTTGAACTCCATTATTCTATGTTCTATTTTACAGCATTATAGTCGACATCTGGTAGAATCGGGGATGCCTGAAATACGTTCCTGCCTTGCCATCGGAGGTATTCCAGTTTCTGAAGCCATCGATATTATATCAAAAGGTGTACACATTATGGTTGCAACACCTGGTCGTCTCATGGATATGTTGGAAAAGAAAATTGTTACTTTGGACGTGTGTCGTTATCTGTGTATGGATGAAGCAGATCGTATGATTGATATGGGTTTTGAAGAAGATGTTCGTACGATTTTCTCATTCTTTAAGGCTCAGAGGCAAACTTTGCTCTTTTCAGCTACTATGCCGAAGAAAATTCAAAACTTTGCCATATCAGCTTTGGTAAAACCAGTAACAATAAATGTGGGCAGAGCTGGCGCAGCTTCTATGAATGTTACCCAGGAAGTGGAATATGTGAAGCAAGAGGCAAAAGTTGTGTATTTGTTGGAATGTTTACAGAAAACCGCACCACCGGTACTCATTTTCGCTGAAAAGAAACAAGATGTTGACTGCATACATGAATATTTGCTACTAAAAGGTGTGGAGGCCGTGGCAATTCATGGCGGTAAAGATCAAGAAGAACGTTCACGTGCAGTCGATGCATATCGGGAAGCACAAAAAGATGTACTTGTGGCCACAGATGTTGCCTCTAAAGGTTTAGATTTTCCAAATGTTCAACATGTCATTAATTTCGATATGCCTGAAGATATTGAGAATTATGTGCATCGTATTGGTCGTACAGGTCGTTCAAATACTAAAGGTTTAGCCACAACATTTGTAAATAAGACAACAGATCCATCGGTACTATTGGATTTGAAACATCTGCTTATTGAAGCTAAACAAAATGTACCAGATTTCCTGCTAGAGTTGTGTCCAGAATCAGAACAATATTTGGATTTGGGCGACTCACATGGTTGCAGTTATTGTGGTGGTTTGGGCCATCGTATTACCGATTGTCCGAAGCTGGAAGCAATTCAAAGCAAACAGGCATCAAATATTGGACGAAGAGATTATCTTTCGAATACAGCTGCAGATTATTAGAATTCTGTATGTTCTGTATGTGTATGGACTGTAATCTAAGATTTTTTTTTGTAAAAATACTATAAAAATATCGTAAAACATAGATAATAATTGTGTTTTAATGCATCGTGATTTTACACGGAATATTCAAGATCTGCCAACATTCAAATAAATCTAACCAAAACAATTTCGAAAATGTTGATTAAAACTAAAAAGGTTTCAACAAAAAGTTTGTTTGTCTTAAAAATTGTCTATAAACTTCGTATAAATGAATATGGTATTCAGACTATATTCATGGAGCTGTATTGAAGAATGATTTCTGTACATGTACGTGTATAACATTTGTTCTTGGTAGTGATAAGAAAATTCGAAGAACAAACCTGAAATATTTAATTTTGTTTTCTTTAAATTGCACTGTGCGACAATATTACATTTTTTTCTTAATAATTAAGATAGGATTGAGATTCTTTGAAATTAAGTTTCTTCGAAAATATTGCAGATAAAAATACGAGTCCCATTTTGGTTGACAATTTTAACCCTCAAACTAGTCGACAAAGGGGCCTTATTATTTTTTCTTTTAATATGAATTAAAACTTTGATTTAAACGGGTTCGTGGCAAGTCAAAATACTTTAAAAAATTACAGGGTGAGATGAAAAAACTGCAACCAACTTTAGACTGCTGTCATATCGAAGCCACTCGTCCGACAGCTGTTAAAATTATTCCAGTGACAGCTCATTTTATTGTTTACAAGCTTACAAAAGCAATTTGGAGAGAACTTTCCAGAAAAAAAGTTATTCGTGGTAGAATTCAAGCGTGATTTCTTTATATTTGGCTGGAAAACCTCAAGTGGCTATCGTTAGAGCACTGCAGCATTTAAATGTGAATCAATCTTTTGTGTATCGTACCATCACTCGTTACCGTGATACTGGTAGCATAGTCCGACGTCAAGGAAGTGGACGGAAGAAAACAGCAACATCAGCAGAAATGGTTCGAAACGTAAAGAAGCGACTTGATCGAAACGTACGCCGCAGTGGCCGAAAAATGGCTCCTGAGTTGAACATATCGCAATATTCCATTTGGCAAATATTGAAAAATGAGCTCGGGCTAAAGCCATTGAAATTCCTAAAAGTTCAAGAACTTATACCGCATTCGTGCCAAAGGTGACCAATTCGAACAAATCTAAACTTATTCTAAAATTTGATGCTATGTCTGGCATTTCTTGCCTTCATTCAATAAAATTTAAAACAAAATTAAAAATTATGGAGTTTGACTTTGTTGCAGTTTTTTTATCTCACCCTGTATTTGCCATAAAATTCTACTATAGGTAGAAAAATCTTTTGGAACAGAATAAATACCCACGTATAGCACCAATGCATAATAATAATTCACAAAACAAAAAAAATTAAGAATTTAAATTGAAAATAAGATCGATCATCCTGTAAATGTGTCGTAAACTGTAAACTTCTTGAGCCTACGACATATCAGTCTAGAAGTTATAGCCGGTTCTTTTTTTAATTCTTTGTATTTCCAATTTAAAGCCTATCGAAATACATACATTATTCAAAAAATAAAAAAAATTGAAAATATATCAAGCGGAATCGATTATGTGCGTTTGTCGCTAATCTTTTGACCCGCAAACCAATGAAAATCTTTGGAAATCCCTGAATGCACTTTCCACGAAAAAAAGAACGAACTCTTAAAAATGTTTTGTTATCATTTAACAGCACTCGTCAACAAATTAAATTTTGAGAGACACCAATTTCTAATTGTCCAATTGAATACAGTGTTTATACCGTGTATATTTATTTATGTATGCTCCTAATCTGCGATTAAAATCAAATAGAATTCGAAAGATGTGAATGAGGAAAATACATATTACTGGAAGCCAGGCTAAAAGTCGAGTTCATGACATATTTAATGTATGCGTTACTGTTTGTGAATGATGAATATGTAAATAAACTGAAAACAACATCTAAAAACCAAATCAGTTTCATATCTGCTGTTATCTCTGGACGTATATGTGTGAGTTTGTGCTCAGCTTTTGTAGGTTTACTTTGTGGCTGGAATTGGGATTGGGAGAACACATTTGTGAATAAAAGGCGATCGTCGTTTTGATCGTAGCTTGACAAAATAAAATCACCGACAATCAGCATTTCAAGCTTAGTCTTTTGCAAAACGCTCTACGGAACGTACAATCTGAATAATAAAAAACAAACACAATTTGTTGAACGTTGAAGCGTGTAAACGTCTTACATTTGGCGGGCGGAAAACGAACGGACGTGCGGGTCTTGTGATAAGAGGAAATAAATTAATTCAAAACAACGAAAATAAATAAAAGGTATTATCGAACTATTTCGTTCGCAATACGTTTTAGATTTCGAGTAAAAGATAATTAAGAAAAAAAAAAAAAACAAAAGCTAATAATAATTCGTAATCGAATGCCATTATTGATTGATTGATGATGACGATCATGATGTGATATGCAAATTTGACAATAAAAAATTAAGAAATACTTAAAGATAGATAAATATTTGTCTATGTGTTTATTTTGTAAGCAAACAATTAGTGAGAGTTTTTTCTGGTGATGTTTTGGGTAAAACCGGTAACCATTCAACGCCAGACATATTAGTTTTAAGAAATTAATGGTTATAACGAATTGGAGTTCATATCTCAATTTTTTTTCCGAAAAAAAATAAATTTCTTTAATGAGCAAATAATTGTTAATTATGGTGGAGGAAGTGAAATTGATTTATAAATATTAAACCCCAAAGTATGAATTGGGAACTCAATTTAGGCATGCATCTTTTCATTCTCCAGCGGAGGAAACAATTATATTTAAACGACAGTATAAATGCCAGGAGAAATGCCAAAATATACAAAGATTTCTATCCTTAAATAACTTAAAATACAAAATAACAATAAAATATATATATAGACTAGTAAGGAAAGAATAAAAGTCGGACAGGGCCGCAAATATCAAAAACCCACCATTTTAGATATTAATATAGATATACAGGGTGAGATATAAAAGCTGCAACAAAGTCAAACGCCATAATTTTTACATTTTTGTTTAATTTTATTGAATGAAAGCAAAAAGGTCGGAAATAGTATCCAATTTTAGAAAAAGTTTAGATTTCTTCGAATTGGCCACCTTTGGCATGAATTATGGCCTTCAAACGGCCAATGAATGTTGGAATGTCCAAGGTCTGCGGCCAAAATGTTTGCGTGCTTAAGGCTTTAATAAACCCAACAGTATTTTTTTGGGATAATATTAAGCATTTATTCTGATGCCACGGTCGAAGAGCGACCATCTGCTGTTATGGCGGCCCACACCATCATAATGGCCGGCGCTTGAGTTCTGGTGGCCAAGGTGCACATTTTCAGCTGACTCTTTGGCAAGTAAACACGATCATTTTGTTTGTTTACAAACTGGTTGCAGTTTTTTCATCTCACCCTGTATTTTATGTAAATAATATAGGCGTGGGTACGTAAAAGCAAAATCGGAGGATACATAACCCAGAGCTATACCAAAATATATACCGATATGACAATATCACTAACCAAAAACTATGTACTGAAAAACTTGTAATATGTACCTGAAAACTGGCAAATCTTAAAAATTTAAAAAAAAAAATTAGGCAAAAGTGGAAACATATGTCGCATTGTCGCTTTACTATAAGAACTTTGCCGTGTAGAAGGATTTTCATTTAATTTTAAATTTTGTACTAGTTTCCCGTTCCCATATTAAGTTTGTCATTCCGTTTGTAACACCTCGAAATATACATTTTAGACCCCACAAAGTATATATATCCTTCAACAGCATAAAATTTTATGTCGATTTAGAGATGACCGTCCGTCTGTCCGTCTGAGGAAATCACTCTAGCTTCGGAACGAATTGAATTAGATTGATAAAATTTTACTCAAATGTATGTTATGTCTGCAGGACTTTTGGTAGTGAAAATGTGCCATGTAGGTCCACGTTTTGTTATAGCCCCCATATAACGGTACCTCCCGATATTCGGTATTTTGATGATTTTAACGACATTATTCACCGGAATTCTTTCAAATTTGGTATTTGATGTTCGTAATAAATACTACAGCCTATGACAGGAGATTGTCTGTATTTGTAAACTACAAAATGTTGTTCGATAACCCAAAAGCCCAGTAAATGAGACCGAATAATACAGTAACATCAGCTTATTGGAAAAATAGCTGCTTTGTGGCCGATGTATAAATGGAAAAATTTATAATAAATTTTTGGCAATAATTTAATTATTTTTCAAATAAAAGACACACAACGTTGTATTATACTAATTTAGAACTAATTTTGCTCTATAAAATGGGTTATTTTGATTTGGTTTACTCAACAGTTTGAAAGTGTAATGCCATATTTAAATGAATGCTGTTCGGTAAAATTTTGCAGAATTTGTGCGTAGTAGCTGAATAATTTTTACTGAAAATGTTATCGTACACACCTAATATTATCCAATAATTTGAAGTGAATTTTTAGATTCAAGTGAGTTTTTAAACTTTTGAAGGGATTTTTATCAATCATAAGGCATGTCTTATGTCTTATTTTTCACTACAAAAATTGTAATTTTGATTTGGTTTTCTCAACCATTTAAAAGTACTGCGCAGCTGTTTTCTTGCTGAATTTTTCAAAATATTGTTCGATAACTTTTTTTTAAATATTTTGACGTGAAGGAGAAAGTCTTTCGGTAAACTTTACTGATAAATTTTTACTAGAAAATCAGCACTATAATATTTATGAACTGACCGAACACTTGCATGCATCTAGTTTGGTAGGTAAACAATCTGTCTTCTGCGACTTGCGTGGCGCAAATAGGTACACCGATATAATATCATGGTGTTGGACGAGATTAGTATTCTGAATCTTTCAAATTTCAAAAATAGATATTTATTTCATCTTATGTATGTGAAGTATATATAGCACAGAAAATTCCTGTTCTTTGCTTTAAGGCGTGGTTTTTAATGATTCAATTCTAGCTTCACTTTTCTTTAGAATTCTAATGTTATCAGTTTTTTTTCGGTTGAAATTAATTATTGTACTTATTGTATGTTTATATAAGTGAGTATGTTTTTTAAACATCTTATCAAAGGTAATAAATGCAAATACAAAAGAAATCACTTGGAAAATATGTGTCAATGTAGAGATTGGCGGTTAGAATTGAACTCATGTTCGTACTAGTTTCAGTGATAAGTAAATAGTGTCTAGTATAAGTCCTCACGTAAACATACCCAGGAACAATTTGGTATTACCAAGTAGTAAGTAAAGACGGCACAAAGTGTGCATGTTTGTCACTAAACCAAAGGTCATAAGATTGCAAGTTTAACATCTTTAATGTTAAATTAGACACAAATTCAATACTAATACTTAAAAGGTAAAAAATGTATATTTCTACAGTTTAACTCGGATTCTGATACCTATTTTTTTATACCCTTAGCCAGATGATCAGAGCTGGTATACATAAATTGATGAGAAAAGATGTATCGCATTCAAATAGCGACTTTAGACCAAATGAGCTACTCCTTTTTCAAATGTAATTTAAAACATTTTGTTAAAATTCGACAATTAATTTTGTAAATTGTAACATTTTAATTGTAACTCGAGATTTCCATTTGTTATTCGTAACATTTTAATTGTAATTCGAGAATTACACTTTTATTCGCAGTGTTCCACTTAAATTTCGAAATATTTCATTTTTAGTTTAAATGTTATTGAATGAATATCGGAAATAGCATCAAATTTTAGAATAAGTTTAGATTTGTTCGAATTGGTCACCTTTGGCACGAATTACGGCCTTCAAATGGCCAACTAAACCGTCACTGTTATGGCGGCCGCACCATGGCCGGCGCTTGAGTTCTGTTGGCCAACCGAAGTTGCACATTTTCAGCTGACCTCTTTGGCAAGTAAACACGATCATTTTGTTTGTTTACACACTGCTGGACAACTAATGTTTTCTCGTCTGAGAAAACCAAATTCGGCAGTTCACCATTTTCGGCCAAGCGAAGCAACTCTTTAGCTCTCTTAAGTCTATCTTCTTTCTGTTGCGGTTTGGAATTTCAATGGCTTTACTCCGAGCTCATTTTTCAATATTTGCCGAGTGGAATATTACGATATGTTCAGCTCACGAACCATTTTTCAGCCACTGTGACGCATGTTTCGATCAAGTCGCTTCTTTACTTTTCGAACCATTTCTGCTGATGTTGCTGTTTTCTTCCGTGCACTTCCTTGACGTCGGGCAACGCTACCAGTATCACGGTAACGAGCGATACTACGAGACACAAAAGAAATATTCACATTTAATTGCTGGAGTGCTCTAACGATAGCCACTTGTGGTTTTCCAGCCAAATATAAATAAATCACACTATCCCGCTTGAATTCCATCACAAATAACTTTTGTTCTGGAAAACTCTCATCAAAATGCTTATGTACGCTTGTAAACAATATAATGAGCTGTCACTGGAATAATTTTAACAGCTGCCAGACGAGTGGCTTAGAAATGACGGCAGTTTGAAGTTGGTTGCAGTTTTTTCATCTCATCCTGTAGATTCGTGTACGGCTCTGGCTTTGCTTTATGATATGTCACAAAATATGGGATGCGAAGACTTCAAGCTGCTTAAGTACCCACACCTTTAGGCCTTGTTTTTGAACTTCAAAGTAGAAACAGTAAGACATTAATCCGAAAGAATATAGCTTTACGAAGTGCTACAACAAAACCTCAGTTTAAATAATAATTACATTTGAACAACATTTCTGTAATTTCTCTAGACAAATTTCTTATGATGTCAAATAAGCATCTAGGCATTGTAGTATGTCAAACTCAAATTATATTAGAAGGTGACAGTAGGATTCGAGTGCGTCCTTTTGTACATATTTTTATAATATGTCAATAAATATGCCGTAACACAAAAAAAAAAAAAAAACCGTAGTTAAAATGGAAATCACCAGATGTGTCACCCTTTACACGGTCAATATATTTTTCTACAATTGAATAAAAACGTGTAGCAGGTATCAAATCATTTACGACAGTGACGCGTACAATGAATAAGTATCAAGTTTTGCATATCTTAATAGAACAACAACAATAATACAGTTAAATAATAACAACAATAATAATAATAAATATGAATCTTAAACAGTTTGCGTCTAGTGGCAATAAATTGTTAGTTGCACTTGAAAGTGTAATAGAGGTCATCGCGAGAGCTAATTGTATTGTATGCCAGTCATAAATAAACCACCACCACCATTTGTAGTTAATTTTATTTGAATTTTAAAAAATAAATATTTATTTAAAGTTATTAAAAACAAAGTCA